GAAAAGCCAAAAAAATAGCAAAAAAAAAGGCCAAAAAAAAATCCGACTGTACAATTCAATTAGCATGCCAAAAATCATGTCGAGAACAATTATAATTACTTCCGGGCTTTCGTTTTAATTTCGCTGCAGCCCCCCTTCGCCCCCCGCCCCCCGCCCCTTGAGCCACTGTCACTGTCAGCGGCTCCCTTTTTTTTTTTTGCTGTGGTGGGTGGCGGGGTGGCGGGAGCTGCTGGCCTGCTGCCATTAGAGTGTAAGCTCATTAGACCGCAAAACTTTGCCTAACGCTTAAAGCTGCTCAGCGCAGAGCTGACTTGCTAATGACAACAACAACAACAACAACAACAACAACAACAACAACAACAACAACAACAACAACAACAACAACAACAACAACAACAACAACAACAACAACAACAATTATTAGACAGATAGAAAAAATGGGCATTTCGAATATAAAGAAGCGAAAAAAAAAAACACAGCAAAAATCAAACACAGCAAATCAACAAATTAGCGCTGTCAAATCCCAAAGTGCAGAGGCTGTGCGTGTGTGTGTGCGTGTGTGCGTGTGTGTGTGTGTGCGTCTCTGGCTGTGGCTTTCGCTTGCGGTTCGTGGCCAATAATGTAATTTGAAGTGACCCTCAGCAAACAGCCGCCGCCGCTGCCGCAGCGCACACTCCATTCAATAAGTCAATATTTACGCATTTCATTTAGTCAGTTTCCAATTTATAACCATTAAATGTAATTTCTGTTTTCACGCTGCCCAATCGAGGATAAGCATGCCACCCGGGGCATTCAGCTTATCCTTAGCCTACCCACACACACACACACACACACACACACACAAACCCCACCCCTCCCCCCCCCCCCCGCCGCAGCGTCGCCCATTGTTAAGCCCTCTCGCTTGCTCATTTGCGCATTCGCACGCATTTTGCCACTACAATTTTTCAGCGTTAATTTCACAGCTACTTATGCGTCGACAAAGACATTTGACCAAAAGCACCTCCCCCTCCCCATCCCCGCTTTGGCCCTCCCCTTGCACACTCTATTAAGTTGGTTCCTATGGGTAATACATCCAAGTGTTTAGGGACGTTTCATACAGAGCATGTTTCATCGAGCATGTTCGCTGCGCCGCGTCGCTTGTTGCTTGGCATTTCGACAGTTTCGCCAAAAGTCGCGTTTCTATTGAACATCTCTTAAACAGCAGAAGTAGCTGGGATCAACACGGGCTACTTTAACGTATTTAGGCGTAGTTGTACTGCGTATTTAAGCTATTTGTACAAAATCATCTATAAAGTAGCTCAATTTGTGAACTAGTTCCAAAAGAATATAATATTGGCTTGCAGCTATGATCTCGCCAAGATCGACGGCGGAGATATGTCGCTATAAAACGATATAAACTCGCCATGATCAACAGCGGAGATATGTCGCTATAAAAGGACATGATCTCGCAATGTTAAACGGCGAAGATATGCCGCTATAAAACGATATAAACTCGCCATGATTTACAGCGGAGAAATGTCGCTATAAAACGACATGATCTCGCAATGTTAAACGGCGGAGATATGCCGCTATAAAACGATATAAACTCGCCATGATCAACAGCGGAGATATGTCGCTATAAAACGCCATAATCTCGCCATGATCGCCGGCGGAGATATGTCGCTATAAAAGGACATAATCTCGCCATGCTTAACAGCGGAGAAATGTCGCTAAAAAAAACATAATATCGCCAAGATTAACAGCGGAGATATGTTGCTATAAAAAAACCAAGAACAATGACGGAGACATGTCGCTATAAAACGATATAAGCTCGCCATGATCAACATCGGAGATATGTCGCTATAAGAGGACATAATCTCGCCATGTTTAACAGCGGAGATATGTCGCTATAAAACGCCATAATCTCGCCATGATCGACGGCTGAGATATGTTGCTATAAAACGATATAAACTCGCCATGATTTACAGTGGAGATATGTCGCTATAAAAGGAAACAACTCGCCATGACCGACGGCGGAGATATGTCGCTATAAAACTGCATAATTCCGCAGCAAAATGTTCTGTGCGGAAATATTTCGGCGGAGTTATTTCGCATGGCCGAACGACTTTGCTTGTGAACTAGTAAATTAGTTTAAGAATGAATTATTATCAATACATTTTTGACTTGAGTCTGGGCAAATATTATCCTAAGTTGATGTTTATTTTTAATAACTTGTTTTTGCATTCACGGGGCTGCGAACCACAAATTTAATGCTCGGCCGAAGCTTAGCCCACGGCGCTGCGCAAAACTATCAAAACAAATGAAACATTTAAGCTATTATTAATGTTTTCTTTGTGAATCACAGCAAATGAATCACAAATTGCTGCTGGATCTGAACTGGCGACCGACAGTTGAAACTGAATTGAATTGTGAGACACGCGCACAAAGAGTAGAGCATTTCGAGTTCGTTGTGCCGCAGTTCATTGAACTTGTGCGTTTAATTTTGAAATTCCGTTTTAGTTATGTTTTTTTTTTTTTTTGTTCATTCGATTTTTTAATATTTTTTTTTTCGCTGACGTCGGCGTCGGCGGCATTTTTAATGGTTGCCATTTTGTTCCATTCTCGTCGTCGTCGTCGTCGATCTGCACACAACTTGTAAATTTAGTTAGTGGCGCCTCCATTGCCCCCCCCCACTCCCTCCACCAACTTCCAGCCAGCCCCCCCGGGCCCCTTGAGGCCTGGGCCAGGCCCACAAAATGCCGGCGGCTCTTTCAATTGTTTTCGCTAGCCCATTGTCATCTAATTTTTTTTCTCTAGCTTTGCTGCTTTTTTTCGCCTCCATTTTTTATCATATCTATATAATGTAACTGCTTTGGGCATTTTGGCCAAAAAACTTTTTGCTCGGCGCTCAATTAACGCTTAGTTTAACGGCCGAGAATTGTTGTTGTTTAAAGAGATGCCGGCAAGCAGAAACAACACTTTTTGGCATAACTTTGCGCCCGACTCTGAACAATTAGGCAGCGCCAGCCAAACTAGGCAACAAATTATGCTCCAAACAGCCAGCCAGCACTCCTCCCCCCCCCCCCCCCCCCATGGCTCCTCTTGCCCGTCCCCTCGCCCAGTTACCTACGCAAAGTGGCTACATTTTGCCTTCGACACCAACAACAAATCTCAGACGCTTGTCTGTTTGTTAGTTTTTGCGTTTTTCCTTTTTCTCTTTTTTTTTTGTCGTTTTCCGTTTTCAGGCAGTTTTTAAAGCTTCCTTTACACTGGGAAAAAATTTTGGTTAAGTTTTAATTTCTTGTGACATTAACATGAGATAAAATTAATAAATTTTATAAATTATTTACACTTAATGCCACAGGACATTCATTTAAATGTATATGAGAAAAAGACCACTAAACAAATCCTGGCCCTTATAAAATGTACATATTTATTTGAATATGATTTGGAATTCGATCGAATGAGCATTTTAAAAGCGTCTTCTTTATTTCCGTGTACTGAATTTTAAAAATCGCTTAAATACGTGTCAATCAGTCAGTCAATCAGTTAGCCAAGCAGTCAGTCAATCAATCAATCAGCCAGTCAGTCAGTCAGTCAGTCAGTCAGTCAATCATTCAGTCAATCAGCCGGTCAATCAATCAGTCATTCAGTCAGTTAGCTATTCAGTCAGTAAGTCATTCAGTCAATTACTCAGTCAGTCAAGCATCAGTCAATCAGTCATTCAGTCATTCAGTCATTCAGTCCGTCGGTCAGTCAGTCAGTCAATCAGTCAATTACTTACTCAGTCAATCAGTCAGTCAGTCAGTCAGTCAGTCAATCAGTCAATCAGTCAGTCAGTAAGTCAGTCAGTCAATCATTCAGTCAATCAGCCGGTCAATCAATCAGTCATTCAGTCATTCAGTAAGTTAGCTATTCAGTCAGTAAGTCATTCAGTCAATTACTCAGTCAGTCATTCAATCAGTCATTCAGTCATTCAGTCAGTCAGTCAGTCAGTCAGTCAATCAGTCAATTACTTACTCAGTCAATCAGTCAGTCAGTCAGTCAATCAGTCAGTCAGTAAGCCAATCAGTCAGTCAGTCAATCAATCAATCAGTCAGTCATTCAATCAGTCATTCAATCAATTAGTCATTCAGTCAATTACTCACTCAGTCAATCAGTCAGTCATTCAATCAGTCATTGCGACTTGTTGTACATATAGAGGAAAGTACAAAAATTGTTTTTAAATGTAAACTTGATTATTTCTTACTGTGTATAAAGTGCTGCACCCACCCACAAGCACTCAATTCCCTTGCTATTTCCCTAAGTTTCTTGCCTTGTTCTCATTTTTTTTTATATTTTATTCCATAAAAGCGGACCCCCCTCCAAGTCAGACAAAACTTTTCCACTTTACAGTGTTATAGTCAGCTCCCAAACAAGCTCCCAATTTCCCCCCACCCCTATTTTCTATCTCAGCCTAGGCTTGGGGCAAACGCTTTTGCCACCCACAAAAATATAGTGAAAATCTATTTTCGAATGCCAGTCAGCAAAGCTGTGGGGTGGTTACCACACCCCCTACCCCTAGCCCCGATCCCCTCTCTTTGTTCTATACACCACCCGTCCCCGAAAGTGCGCTGTTTTGCGCATTACAAAAAGTATTTTTCATTACATTTGCCAACAATTCAATGCACCTCCCCTCCCCCGAGTCCCCCACGTTCTCTCCACACATTACAAACCAGCGTCTTGTTCGTCGTCCCATTCTTCATTATTTTCAGCCCCGTCCCCGCCCCGCATTCAGCGCTCTCCTCGCCTCTGATGAGGCAGTTGCCAGTTTGTAGCTCCCGCTTCTCTGACCAATGTCGACTTAATTTATAATTACGATAATTTGCGCGCTACGTTTTCTTTTGTTGGTCTGCCCACCCAGCCCCCTTCAGCCAGCCGCCCTCTCTTTCCTCTCTCTTCTTTTATGCCGTGTCAAGCAAACTTTTGTTGGTTAGTTGGCCGCTGATGTCGCCAGGGGGCGCTGATTGGTCAACGCCAGCTCAGTGAAGCGCTGCTCCGCTTCTGCTCTGCCGCTGCCGCTGCCGCTGCTGCTGCTGCTGCTGCTGCTGCTGCTGCTGCTGCTGCTGCTGCTGCTGCTGCTGCTGCTGCTGCTGCTGATGACAGCAGTCGCGACTTGACGCTGCCCAAGGCTCTGGCGCCGTTGCTGCTGCTACTGCTGCTGCTGTTCGCTTCTTCTCTCCTCCTCCTTCTCTGGCCTGCTTTTTTCTTCTTCTTGCTTCTCCCTCTTCCTTATGCCGTTGTCCTTGCGGCTTATCAATAATGTTGATTTCACTCTGTGTCGCATAATTGAATTCTGAAGTTGTTAAGTCACAGCGCAGCCAAATTTACGCGCAGCGCATTCCCTAAACATTCTGACCCCCCACCTCGCCCCGACCCTACCCTACCCGCCCCATTCCATTTCCATTTTGGGGCCGCGTCGCTGATTGAAAATTTGCCAATTAGAAATAATGAAGCGTGTGACATTAAATGCAAGACAAGCAGCAAATCGGTCGAAGGCCTCTCACGCCGCCAGGGGGCTGGGTTGCGAGCCCGCTTGCCTACTGCTAGATGGCGCCACTACTTATAACATAATATATGTGTATAGAGAGAGAGGGAGATTTCTCGTCCGCCTAACGTTGCGATAACAAATTTTGCTTAGACGGAAGTGGAAGCTCTTAAAATCTCATTGCCGCCTAACCAGCACCGAGCCCCCTACCCCGCGCACATACGCTCTTGCCCCCACACGCAGTACCGGCAGTCGTTAGGCACGGATATCGAAAATTTTCATGTCTTCCTTTAGTTTGTCTTAGTCCTTGCTCCTTGTTCAATGCAGCAGCAGCAGCAGCAGCACCGGCAGCACCACCGGCAGCGGCAGCCATCATTAGGCTCTCTGCCACCCAATTGGGCTCCATCAGTTGGGCTTCCCATTCCGCTGGTCTGTCGGAAATTTATAGTCTTGAGACGGTGGCCATCAGGGTCGTAGGTAAATGCGCATTAGCTCTGCTACGATACGCAGCGATGCTCAATCAACCCCAACCACCCCCCCACACCGCCTCCCCAACGGCCCAGCACCAGCACGTGATGCATTTTTTTCTCTCTCCCACCTCCCTCCCGCCACTTTGTTTGTTGCCTGCGTCTTGACTGCATTTCAACACTGTTAGCAGTGGTAGGGGCTGTGCAGCTACGCCAGGTGCCATACACACACTCTACACCGCACTTCCCTGCACACACACACACACACACACACACGCGCGCCCATACATATTTCTTTTAAGTAGCTCATTATTTTTTTTGCCGATTGCTGCCAATATACATAAACCTGCTGCAGTTGGCGGGCCACCCATCACTTCACATGGATGAGAGCCAGTGTTGGCAAGTGCAGCAAAGTTTGAAAAACGGTAAGGAGCTGCACAAATTTGTCATATGTTTTTGGTTGTTAAAATAGTTGCAGCTAGTGAAATAAAAAAAATAATTATCTAAACAAGTTGCTTCCATTTATATAGCCAAAAAACCCAATCTGAAAATCAATAATTACAATCACGTTGAAACAGAGTTGCCTTTCGATGATTTGAATTAATTCTGAGTCTCCTCTTATACGAATATCTGCCAATTCTTTCGATATGTGTTCGAACAAAACCTAATCTAAGAATCGATAATTATCGAAATGAGCTAACTGTGCTTTTAAGTAGACTTGATCTGGGCGGGCAACAGCGGGGCCCCTGGGGCCCATTTCTAACAATCGATAATTATCGATTTCTGGTGTATTAAGCTTTGATATGTGATCAAACAAAACCTAATCTAACAATCGATAATTATCGAAATGAGCTAACTGTGCTTTTAAGTAGACTTGATCTGGGCGGGCAACTGCGGGTTCCCTGGGGCCCATTTCTAACAATCGATAATTATCAATTTCTGGTGTCATACATTTCGATATGTGCTCGAAGAAAACCTATTTAAACAATCGATAATTATCGAAATGAGCTATTTATGATTTAAAGCGGGGCTCTCGTTGGTTTCTTCCGCTCTCGTCTTTTAAGAGAGTCAGGCTTATCAAATGGGTAGTTAAATTCGATAGTTTTTGATATCGCGCCAATTAACTGAGTTATGAACTGAAAGTTTTTAGCTCGGCAAGACAAGAAGATAAACCTATAGATAGCATATATATTATATAAGGTATACTTATGGTTTCGGAGAAGAAGCTTCCTTCTGCCTGTTACAGATTTTTCCCGGAAACGATATTTCAGAGTCTTAGACACGTGCCTTGAGCTGCCTTCGTCTTCATTCAGCTGGAACACTCTGGTTTGGCCTTTCATCTCTGTCTCACTGCTCGAATCGCCGCCGCCTTTTTGCAACTCAGAGCAGCCCTTGTCAAGCAGAAGTCGAGGCTGGGATTAAATTAGTAGCACCTTGTCTTCATGCCATTCAACGGCAACTCAAGCCCAAACCGAAACCCAAAGCCGAACCGAGCCCAAACCAATTTTAACAGCTCTTGTGCGTATTTACTAGACATATATACATACTTGGGGCATTCATCTAGGGGCGTTCAGACGGGGCGTGTCTAGGGCATCGCTCACCCAAGGCACATAATTACAATTCTGCTTTGTATTTACGTGTATTTATATTAGCTTTTCCTTTCCCTTTTCCAATAGCCGTGACTTCGCGATGTGCCTGGGTGGCAATCAGAACCCTGCCACACTACAAAATAACCACGTCGAGCCTTTGATACTCTAAAGGAATTTAAAGGAATTTCGGGTATATGAAAAGTATTCGGCTTTTTGGGTTGCTTAAAATTGAATTTTCAAAAATTGTTTTTAGCTAAGTTAGAAAAATTATATCTTACTTTGATTTAAATTGTGGGAAAATATATCAAAATTATATCAACATTTTTCGCATATCAAAGTATAATACATCTAATTTAATATAATCCCAGACTTCTAACTTTAATAGAAGCGGAATGAATATATATATATATATATACATATATATATAAATCAAAGATACGATAATCTTTTTTATAAGACTGTAGACGGTTTATGGATTAGTCGGAAATGAAAGTCTAGAGTTTGGGTTTATTTATGTTTTTTTGCTTCGATTTGAGTGCCATTTATATATGTATTGGTGTGTGTGTGTGTAGTCCTTTAAGCGTGTATATAACTACATTGTTAATACTTAAATAATTACTCTGTACCCATGCCTACATTTACTTACCTACATACTTTGTACTTATACTTAATATTTATATAATATCTTGTTTTTTGTTGTTGTTATTATTGTTGATATATATATATATATATATATATATATAGGGTTCGATCTTCTGGAGTCATAATATATTGGTTTTTATTCACTTCATACATTAATTTCTTATTGGGACAATGCTTTATCTTTCTTATTGGTACTCAACGAGATCAGACGCACGTCTCTCGTCCCCATTATCGTTTGCTACTGTTACCGTTAGTTCTGTTAATTAACATGCGTCTAACATGTTATCGGCCGCTGCAGGCTCTTATCGATAACTCTATCCGGCAGAGTTTCCAGCCCTACAAGAAAAATCAAAACTGATTTCAAATAAGTTTTATCAATCTCTATATATAAAACTGTTTGTCCTGACTGACTGACTGACTGACTGACTGACTGACTGATTGGTGATCAACGCACAGCCCAAACCGTAAGAGCTAGGAAGCTGAAATTTTCACTGTAGCTACCTTATGTGATGTAGGTGCACGTTAAGGCGGGGTTTCGGGAAATTCCACCCGCAAGTGTGGAAAAATCGCGAAAAACGTTTGTATGTAACTTTTTTGTTTACCATCCGATCGGCCTCAAACTTATTTTCAAAGCTCTTTGTTCAAATTCATTTGAGGGGTGTTTCCCACTTTTTGGAAAATGCATGCCTCCTTGGTGGAAATGGGGGTCAAAAATTTGGTGGGTGACATTTCGCGCTCAAATTCATTTCCAGAGATCTATAAGAAAAATCATTTGAGACGTGTTTCACACTTTTCGCAGAATTCAAACTTCTTCGTGGGGAATGCGATTTAAAGATTTTTTGTGCGAAGTTTTAAGTTGTGTCCGATTTGCTTCAAACTTATTTTCAAAGCTCTCAATAAGAACTTAATGAATACGTATGTCCGCGATTTGGGAAATTCCACTCGCAACAGTGGTAAATTGGCGGAAAACGTTTGTATGAAAGTTGTTTGTTTACGTTCCGATCGGCCTCAAATTTATTTTCAAAGATCTTTGTTCAAATTCATTTGAGAGGATGTTCACACTTTTTGAAAAAATCCATCCCACCTTGGTGCAAATGGGGGTCGAAGATTCGGTGGATGACGTTTTGTGTTCAAATTTATTTCCAAAGATCTATAAGAAAAATCATTAGAGACGTGTTTCACATTTCTCGCAAAATCTAAACTCCTTCGGTGGAAAATGCATTTTTAAGATTTTTTTGGTGAATTTTAAGAGTTTTCCGATTTGAATAAAAGTTGTTTGATTACCGTCCGATCAGTTTCAAAATCATTATCAAAGCTTTTTTGATTTAATAACATACGTGCCACGGGCAAGGCCGGGTTATACCCGCTAGTATATATATATAATATGTGATCTTATAAGATATGCTTCAAATAGATGCTATCCAAATGAGAACTTGAGGCAAAAATTAAAGATAAAATAAAAGAAAAGAAAAGAAAAGACCTTGCTCGGGTCTAGAACAGTTGTCATCTGCCTTTGTTGAGCGCATGCTCATAGGAATATAAAACAAAAATAAAATATCAAAAATTAATAAAAAGTGAAATAAGTAAAGTTAATGGTTTTTGTTTTTTTGTTTGTGCCGCAACGTATCCCTAGAAATTGTGACAGCTGTCTAAGTAGACACACTTCATTCATTTCTATGCGACTCTGTGTCACAGGCTTCTTGACTGCGTTGTGCTGCCTCTGATATAAGTTGAACAACATTCAAACACACACACACACACACACACGCACACACGCACATAGAGATCCATTCACATATACACCCACACAGATACTAACTGGGCTCGTCGCCGTCGACATATTTCACGTTGATGTATGGTTTAATTACATTTGCGTGGCGGCAATGCGTTTGGGAATGGGAATGATAATGTGACGGTAGCGGGAGGGGGATGGAGAGGGGGAGGGGGGGAGGGGTATGGCGCCCAAGTAGCAAGGGAAGAGCGAGTGGGTTAACGTAAGTATATCAAGTCATGAACGGGGCAAGTTTTCAGCTCAGCTCCGCCCAACCCCCATTTCTGTCTGTTTATAATATGCCCAGGCGTTATAAAGGGGTGTGTGTAGGTGTGTAGGGGTGTAGGGTAGGGTAGGGTAGGGTAGGGTAGGGTAGGGTAGGGTAGGGTAGGGTAGGGTAGGGGCTGGCTGGCTGAGATGCGCTCTCAGCGCTTTTGTTTAGCTGTCGTCGTTGCCATTACCGAGCGATGTCTCAACAACAACAGCAACAGGCATCAAGATAGGTGACGACTGCCTCAAGCTCATAATTATCAAGTCGGGCAAGCCGAACTGTTGCTACACCCTACACCCTGCATTCCCCCGTCCTGCTTATACTGCAATTTGTCCAGGCAGCTGGCACTTTTATGACTTTGAACACGTCTTCAGAGCAAAAGTTTCGCCCGCTCGCTGCCGAGCAAAAAGTTGTTAGCCAGGAATTTTGAGCAACTGTCTCTCCAGAGTGGCGCCTACTCATGTCACCGCCGCTGGCTGTGGGTTAAGTGGGTTTATTAGGTTTGTGGGTCTTTAATTGATGTTAAGCACAGAGTTGATGTGCGGCACTTGCATATTTTATTTGCAACACGCGCGACTCTCAACTAGCCCAAGTCTCGCTCTCTCGCTCTCTTCGTTCTCCCTCTCTAACTAT